TGCTCACTATTTCCTGTTGCAAATTAGGAAAACAAAGCACCTATAATTGAGACAGTTTTAGAACGTGAGAGCTATTATTTACAAGTTTACTTCTGAAATTTGCCAAGAGACAAGTTTACTTTGCAAGACTAGTAGAAATTGCCAAAAGAGAAAACATTTTCCCTCAATTCTCCGATATGAGGCAACTTCATTGTTCATTGTTGTTTTTGTGAAGTGTCGAGTAGGTTCCGATCCATAGCGACCCTGTTTAGGGTTTCCGAGCAGCTACTGGTGAGCTTGCGAGCTAGTTCAAACGGCTTTGCAGCCTAGGGCATTAACCCACTGCACCACATCAGGACTAATCAGTAGTGGTGGTGTGCAGTGGGGTCGGTTCCGATTCATAGCGACCCTGCATAGGATTTCCGAAGCTGTAAATCTTTTCGGAAGCAGAAAGGCTCATCTTTCTCCGGTAGAAATGCTGGATAATTTCGAACTACTTGACCTTGAGTTTAGCAGCCCAATTCGTAACCAATACGCCACCAGAGCTCCTTTAATACGCATTGTTGTTGTTGTTAAGTGCCGAGTCAATTCCAACCCATAGCGACCCTGTATAGGGTTTCCAAGGAGCAGCTGGTGAGCTTGAACCGCCGACCTTGCAGTTCAACCGGTTTTGCAGTCTGGCGCATTAGCCCACAGCGCCACACCAGGACTCCTTAATCTGCATTAGGTGGGGGATATTTCTGGGGAAGCTAAAGCCCATGTAACTGAACAATCGTTCCTGTTTGTATTTCATTTTCTAGAAGGCATGTTAAGTATACACATCATCAGCCTGCTTAGATACTAATTGTTGATGTTAAGTCGCATCGAGTAGGTTCCAACTCATGTTGTTGTGAAGTGCCTTCGAATTGGTTTCAACCCATAGAGACCCTGTATAGGGTTTCCAAGGAGCAACTGGTGAGCTTGAGCCACCCGCCTTGCAATTGTAGTCCAGTGCCTTAACCCATAGGGCCACACCAGGAGCAGCTAGTGGGCTTGAACTGCCAATCTTGTGGTTTAACAATCCCTGACTGATCCTACAGCGCCACAACAGGAGTCCCCATTGCTACCAAGTAAATCTTCATTGTGTATGTATGTGGGTGATATTATCTAAATAGGAATTAGAGCAGATGAAAAAACAACCCTGTTACTTGTGTTTTGTCTTTTTCAAAGTAAGGAACATGCTTCTTCTTTACAGGAACTTTACTTCCTTTTTTAAAAATTCCATTTGATGGTCTATGAACACAGAAGACCATAATAACTAAAAATATAAAAAAGGAAGCAAGAGATCCTAGGGTGACGCAAACAGCTGACATGCCTGGTTGATAACCCAAAGGTTGGTAATTCCAATCCATCCAGAGGCATCTTGGAAGGAATACCTGGTGATACACTTCTTAAAAAACAAATCAGTTATTGGAGGGGAAGAAGGAAATAGCAATTGCCAATTATTTTTGCACCTCCCTTTGGTTTATTAAGTTTTTTACCCACAAAATATACTAGAGAGCAGACTACATTTTGTTTTGATTTTGCGAACCTTTCTTCCAAATGTGTAGCTGTGGCTGGTCTCAACAAGTACATGCAGTAAATAGAAATGAACCAACCAACTAATTTGAAGGTTGATGAAAAGTCAGATGTACAAGTAAAATTATTGTCTTTGTTAGCAAAGCAGCCTCATGAGAGACAGCCTTTAGAAACAGACCATTACAGAGAGAAATGCAATCTGGTATTTGTACAGAGTGATTTCAATTCGTTCTTAAGATAAATTTTCTTAAGTATAACCCAAGGTAGTCCTATTTCTTGGATAGGCAAATTTATCAGCATAAAGATTAACCTTTTTCTTACTTATTCCTTGTCCAAATTATTTTAACCTTCACATTTATGGAACTAGCATGAAGAGTTATTTTTGTGTTGTGGCTGCTTTAATCAAATGCATTCTATTTAGCTCCTGAATTAAACAAGCTAGTACTAAGAGTCCCGCCACCCGCAAGCAATGTTAGATTTAGCGTGCATTGATAAATTAGGATGGGAGGACCCAAGGAAACACAATCAAGCTTGCTCTCTGCTCATTCTTTATAAATCCAAAGCCACAAAGAACACAAATTGAATTAAAATAAGAAGAGAAAAGTTTTAAAAGTATTTCAACTTTTCTTTTTTAAGGTTTTACCTAAGGACAAATAGATTTTCCTGACTCTTGTTCCCAAATAGGACTTCAGGGATAATTTTTGTAATCCCCTCACCTTTTTTCTTTATGGAAAAACAAAAAGAAATTTGCGAACTAAATAGTATAAATGACTCGACCAATGCAAGTTTTTGGTCAGGACTGACACCTCACTAATTTGAATTTCCTATTCTGTAAATTGGGTGATTACTTCCTACCCAGAAACCTTACAGAGTGACAAGAGTCAAATAAAATCCTAAGGGCAAAAGTATCAGAACAAGTCAAGTGTCAAGCAGATGTTTAGTAATGTTGGGGACCAGAGGGAAAGTTTTCTGAGTGACATTTTGGAACTATCATTAATCCTGTTGATATAAGTGATGGTGAGTTCTCTCCTGTCAGATTATAGGAGAGTCTTGAGAAACTAACAAGTAGTCAAAGTAAAATTAGAGACAGGTCATTCTTAACCATGGTAGGGAAGCAAAAGGGATTCTCTGAGTGTGGTAGGAACTCTGATTAGCTAAAATCTCTTTGTAGGATAAGACCGGATCACAAGGTCGGTGGTTCAAACTCACCAGCTGCTTCTGCGAAACCCTACACAGGGTTGCTATGAGTCAGAATTGACTGGATGGCACTTAAGACCTTTGTCTCTAGCTTAGTGGTGAAGAACATGGATGTAGAAGTGAAACAGATGGAGTTTGAAGCCTGATTCTGCTATGTAGGAGTTGTGAGCCCTTAAATAATTTCCTGCACCTTTGTTTTCACATCTTTAAAATGGGGAGGGGGGAATGCTTTCCTGGGGTTCTTCTCATCATCCGGGTCTCAACTATATAGTTACCCTCTCTGACCTTTCTATCTGAAATGATCTCTACTGCCCCTTTCTATCACATGACCTTGCTTTAATCACACACTTACTAACATCTGAAACTACTTTTTATGTTTGCTGGTTTCATGGCTTTCTCTTTTAACAACATAAACCTGTGAAAGGTAAGCCTGTCTGAACTATTATTTCCTGTGCCTTGTCTATACCCAAAACCCAACCTACTGCCGATGATGAGTCAATTCCAATTCATAGCCACCCTGTATAGGGTTTCCTAGAGTGGTGCTGTAGACTCAGCCCTGGACTGCTAACCACATGGTTGATGGTTCAAACCCATCAGCCGCTCCTTGAAAACCTTTTTGTTGTTGTTGTTAAATGCCACAGACTCTTGGTCAGAACTGACCTGACAACACTAAATCAACAGACAGGTTTTCTGAGGCTGTCAATCTTTCCAGGAGCAGAAAGCCTTATCTTTCTCACTCAAGAGTAGCTGGGTGGGTTGGAACTGGCAACCTTGTGGCTAGCAGTCCAGGGCTTATCCTAAGCACTACCAAGGCTTCTTGCCTTGTATACGTTGTTGTTGTTAAGTGCCGTCGAATCGGTTCCAACCCATAGCGAGCCTGAACAGGGTTTCCAAGGCTATAAATCTTTACCGGAACAAAAAGCGTCCTCTTTCTCCCACGGAACAGCTGGTAGTTTTGAACTGCTGACATTGAGGTTCGCAGACCAACTCGTAACCACTACGCTACCAGAGCTTTCTATAGTTACTGGATAAATAAATAATGTTATTTGTTAACCGAAGAAAACATGCAGCAAGAACTAAAGGAGAAAACCAAAGTTAAATTAGTATTGTACCTGGCTTACTGTGTTAGGTGCTGTCCTGCTGAACCCCGTATAGGGTTTCCAAGAGCAGCTGGTGGTTTTGAACTGCCGACTTTGTGGTTAGTCCAGTGCTGATCCTACAGCGCCACTAAATAGGTTCAAACTGCTAACATTTCAGTTAGCAGCCAAGCGCTTAACCATTGTGGTACCAGGACTTCTTTATGATGGGAATTCATTCCATAGGTTTGTGCAAAGGACTAAATGAGATAATTTAGCATTTGTAAAATGCTTTAAGAAGGTGACTGGCATGTAATGGTGGTAATGGTGGTGTGCCCTGGAGTCGGTTATACCCTGTATAGGGTTTCTGAGTCTAAATCTTTATGGGTGCAGAAAGCCTCCTCTTTCTTCAGGCATGTAGTACAATATATGTATTTGTTAAAAAACGAGGTAAAAAAAAAAATTCCATCATGAACCCATTTTATAGATGAGTAAAGTAAGGAGGTCTGGTACCAGCTGCTCCGCGGGAGAGAGATGAGACTTTCTACTCCTGTAAAGATTTACAGCCTCGGAAATCCTGTACAGGGTCGCTATGAGTCGGAACTGACTCCACTGCACATAACAACAACAAAGTGAGTCACATATTAAGTAATTCGAAGCCAGAAGAAAAACTCCAAAACAAGTTTGCTGACTCTGATGAAGATAATAATGTTGACTATTTTCTTCTGAGTGGAAAGAGGTGGGAGGGACTAGGGCTTTGCTAGTCTAAGATGCCCGAGTTCTTCATTCCTACAGCAGCCGGTTCCCCAAAAGGAAAATGCAGCTGGTGTCTGGGAGAAGAAGCCTGGAAGTGCCTGGACCTGCGTGGCCGCCTCCTCGAGCCTCGGCCGGCCCGGACGTGCACAAAACAACCTGTAGCACCTCCAAAAGCGCCCGATCTTTCCAGGGCCTCTCCCGCCCAGGATCGCCGCGTGGCCACGCAGCGCCCTGAGAGCTGAGAAAAAGTTTCCAAACAGCGCTTCTCGGCGCTGATTGGCTGAGGCGGACGCGGTTCCATGGCGCCGCAGCCAATGGACAACGCCGGCCGCGAGCGCCGGGGCGGGGGTGGGGGTGGGGTGGCCGGAGCCCGAGCCGTACCGCCCTTCGCCGCCGCCGCCGCTGCCGCCGCAGCAGCAGCAGTGACCACCGCCGCCGCGGAGTTCTAGCCGCCCGAGCCGGGTAAGTGCGAAGCTGGCCGCGTGACGCGTGATGATTTTCCGAGGACCGTCACCCGCCGCCGGGAAACCCCTCCGCGCCGCCCCTGCGTCCTCCTGCCTCCTTGGCACCCCTGACCGCCGCCTGGACTCCACTGGTCCGGGTGCTTCCCCGGTTCCTCCCGTCCTAACTTTGTGGCTTCCCACTCTCCGGTCCTTCGCTCCCGTCTCCCCTGCCTTGGCCAACTTTGTCTCCCGACCCTACCGCCCCCAGCTTCCCTCCTGCACTACTTCCGTCTTTTAACCTCCTTGCGCTCAAACCCACAGTCCGGCCCCTTCGCTCCTCTACTCGGTCTGATCGCTCCCCGGCCCCTTGACGCCCTCGTCTCTTTACTTGCCCCATTTGCTGCCCTTCACTCTCCTCTAGCCCTTCTTTTCTGCTCCCCTTTCACTTGCTGACCCCCAGGCCCCACGGTATCGAGTGGATTTCCGTTTTTAGGGACCCTGTATTAGAACTAACTGACTGCCTCCTTATGTGGCGCTGTAGGATAAGTACTGGACCGCTAACCGCAAGGTCGGCAGTTCAAACCCACCAGCTGCTCGTCAGAAACCCTATACAGGGTCTTTGTGAGTCGGAATCGACTCGGCCGCGCTTAACAACAATAGCAGTGTTATTAGGGTTTCTGAGGCTGTAAACCTTCGGGTTCGCATCCCAACGCTTAGCCCACAGTGCCAAGAGGGCTTCTCTACTGTCCCTAGATTAACCCCCACCCATTACTTCACGTCCCCCGCTGCCCACCTCCGCACCCACTTCCCAGCCTGCTCCACCCTCCGAGCGGGCTTCTTTCCAAACACCTTCCCCTCCTCTGCGCCTCCTTTGGAGGCGCGTTAGAGCTGGCTCTTCCCGCCGCTTGTCCCCTCTGCTGCAGGACGGTTCAGATTGCCCTGACTGCACTGGGGTAGGATTGGATAAAGGATGCAAAAGTTTGTTTTACAGCTCAGTTCGCTGGCTGGGCTTCCCTGCTGCTCTGAGGGTCCAGGGAAAACTCGCTGTCACCTTGACCTGGCCTTTTCGGAAGCCACACTCTCTTTTCCCCGGTTTCTTTGTTCAGGGTTTATAACGTGGTGTGTGTGCCTGGCTGGTCCTTCTCTTATTTTAGCCTGCGGCTTCTTTGAACTTTCTTTCAAACTCAAGTTCTAGGCGGAGTTTTATCGGTTATGATTGTAGTTTTTGTTTGAGGGCGTATTCTTGGATTGGTTTTTGTTAAGTGCTGGCGAGTCGGTTCCGACTCCTTGGGACCCTGTATAGGATTTCCCAGGAGCAGCTGATGGATTTGAACTGCCATCTTTGCAATTAGCAGTCCAGGAATCTATTCTTGGATGGTGATGGTGTGCCAAGGAGTCGATTTCTACTCATAGCAGCCCTGCTTAGTGTTTCCAAGGCTTAAAATCATTATAAAAACAGAAATCCTCATATTTCTCCCGAGGAAAGACTGGTAGTTCGAACTGCTGACCTTGAGGTTAGCAACCTAACTTGTAACCACTATACTACCAAAGACAGGGATAAGGTGCATTAAGGAGTCCAAAACAAAACAGTGGCTTCAGTGGCATCCAACGGGATCTGCTGGGCCAGTTAAATTCAAGACAAAAAGGTCAACTCAGAAGATTTGCAATTATTTTGGGGGGGTTCCCAAATGGATAATCTTGATAGATTTTTTCAAAGGATATGGGACCAGTCACAGGGATTTATTAGGAGGAACTTTTAAGAGAATAGGAAACTTCATTGGTGAGTAAAAGGCCAGAAAAGTTGCACCAAGAATTTTTTGTTTCCATCACAATAATGCTCCTGCCCATTCTTGAAGGGTAGCAAGGACTGTCCTTTGAGAATTTCTTTGGGAAACCTCACTCAGTCTACCTGCAAGTCCTGATCTTGCCCTTTCAGAGTTTTTTGTTTTTTTTTTGTTCCCCAAATCAGAACATTTCAAAGGAACACAGTTTGAGTCCCTCAAGGATGCTAAAACTGGCATTTTGATGTGGTATAAATAAATCAAAGAGCACAGAATTCTTTGGGGAAGGAATTTTGTTGTTAAGTGCAGACTAGTAGGATCCAACTCATAGAAAGTCTATGCACAACAGAAGGAAACACTGAAATACTGCCAGGTCCTGCGCCATCTTCACAATCACTGTCACATTTGAGCCCACTGCTGCTGCCACTGTGCCAGTGCATCTCGTTGGGGTCTTCCTTTTTATTTATTTATTTATTTATTTTTGCTGACCCTCCACTTTACCAAGCATGATGTCCTACTCCTGGAACTGGTCCCTCCTGGTAATGTGTCCAAAGTATAAGAGATGAAGTTTCATGTTCTGACTTCTAAGGAGCATTCTGGTTGTACTTCTTCCAACACAGATTTGTTTATTCTGGCAGATCATGGTACTTTTAATATTCTTCTCCAGCACCATTGACTGCATCAATTCTGGAGAAGGGAGATGGTGGTGATGTGTCGTGGTTCCCACCCATAGCGACCCTGTCTGTACAGGGTTTTCCGAGGCTCTAAGTCTTTACGGGAGCAGAAAGCATCCTCTTTCTCTGGCTGAACAGCTGGTAGTTGTGAGCTTAGCAACCCAGTTAGTTACCACCACACTACCAGAGTTCCTGGAGAAGGGCTAGAGAGATGGAAACACTCCTTCAGAAGTGTTGTTGAAAGTTTTGTTGAGAAACAACAGATTCAAGTTTTGGTATTTTTGTTTAACAAAGGTTTCTTTGATTTTTTTTTAGCAATACTTTTGGACATTGGATCCCAGTTACTCCCGAGAGTCTCTGGTTATCTTTCCATTTCCCAGCCACTTTAGTACCTAACCAGTTTTTTTGTTTGTTTGTTTGTTTTGATGAATCAATAGGTGATTTAATGAATGAATCCAACCCTTGAGGCAAACCTGAATTATGTTCCAACTACCACAGAAAGTTCTCTATGCATATTTTTGCTTAAGAAATAAACATGACTTAGCAGCTCACTGAGAATCTTGCAAATCACTTAAAACTAGAGTTTCTAGGAAAGTTTGGGAACCAGGAATTGGCTGGTTGGGAAACAGCAACCACAAAAGGTATGGTTAAGGTTTCTCACCTAACCAAACGGATGCACCACTCTTAGCACTAACTGGAAAGCTATGTATGAATCAAATTACTTTGTCAACTCACATATGTAGTATATTCTTCTGAAGAGAGGAGTGAAGGAATCTGTTGGGATTTACAAACAATTGCATTCAAACATATCTGTTTTGTAAATGTAGGGACAGGATCGAAGAGGAACAGATGTTTTTTTTACATGCCCTTCAAGGCTCTCTGGTTCTCTAACACGAACTGGCTGAAGCCTTTGACTTTGGGGTTTAGTCGGTGTGTGAACTTGACATTGCCTTCTGGTTTCATTTGACAGAAACGACACATGTTGGCGATTTCCTCTGCTGCAGGGAATCCCAGCTTCTCATAAGCTTCTGGAGTGATCTTTGCATCTCCAACTTCTTTCCCCAAGATCTTGGACAAAACATCTGCATGTTGCTGTGTGGTTAGAGCTTCTGCACTGAGACCCACAGCCTTGCCTAAAATTCCTCTGGAGAATTAAAAATGTTCAAGACGACTGTTCCAATTGTCAGCAACAGAGATGCCATCCTTTGGTACATCCCCCATGGGCAGTGCTACCAAGGAATAGTAATCTCCATCCGTGGCTTTCACTGACTTCCACATAGAGAAAAAGTTTTCTAAGTAAGCTGCCATGCAGACACTGGTCATGGGAACGCCGATGGACCAGAAGTAGCCCTCCACTTTTCCCTTGCCATCGAAGTGCGGCACCTTGAGTTTGCCTCCACTCAGCTGCTTGACATTCTCCAAGCCGCTGTACACCATGTGCTGCACACCCAGGCGTTTAGCGGCATCCGCCACCATTTTTCCCTGACACACTTCCTTCTCTTTGCTGAGGTGGTCTCAGAAGTTGGTCACCACAAAGGCGCCATAGGCACCTTCTAAAACAGCCTCCACTGATGCTTCATCATTCAGGTCACCCTTTACCACCTCTGCACCAAGGTCCTGGAGTTCAAGGGCCTTTGGTCGAGTCACGTCCTGGTCACTGCTCTCACAGCAAACTTTTTGCTTTTCAAAATGGCCGTGGCCACAGAGCTCCCCTGAGCTCCTGTTGCTCCAGAGACTGACTGTAATTACTTTCTTGCTGGCCATGTACTGGAGTGAGCAGTGAAAACTTTTCTCAGAACACTTTCTCTTTTCCAGCAAGAACTTACCTCAGAGCAGTAGTAGCTAAAATGGAGTTTCTCTTTTCCAACAGGAATTATCCTAACCATTTTTTTTTTTAACCTAACTGGTTTTGAAATGCAAGGGTCTTCTCTTAATGTGCCTTCTGTATAGAATGAGCTGTCCATGGTCTATAACCCTGAACTCTATAAGCCTTGGAATTGCATGTATATTTGATCCCAGTTTTGTGTAATAGTCCTTCATTTGCCTTATTCCCTTGTTAAGTGCCATCAAGTTGGTTCCAACTCCTAGTGATCCTGTATAGGGTTTCTGAGAAGCAGTGGGTGAGTTTAAACCATCGACCTTGTGGTTCAAACCGACTTTATGGTCAGGTACTTGTTCTACAGCACCACACCAGGACTCTTTATTTCTTTGTTGTTGTTGTTAAGTGCTTTTGAGTCAGTTCCAATTCATAGCAGCACCCTGTACAGGGTTTCCGAGGAGCAGCTGGTGAATTTGAACTGCAGACTGTGGTTCAAACCAATCTTGTGGTCCACTGTATTATCCCACAGAGCCACACCAGGACTCCCCTTTATCCCCTAAGTATGGAATTTTTTTTCTTTTTTCTGAAGTGTGTTCCTTTGCCTTAAAGGTGTGAGCCAGAGAGATAGTACATTTTGCCCTCAGAGGATAATTTCCTAAAATGACCATCACTCTTGTTTTCAGAGCCTTTGTGTCTGTACTTTACCAAGTACTATGATGCAAATACCTGTTTTTCTCTACCTTTT